ATTTTTTCCCAGTTGCCAGTGAGCTTCTTCCTCTGTACAATTTTTGATATGAGGAAGCATAGGCTCATCTATAAGTAGCCTCCATGAATTAATTATATAACCATTGGTCAAAATCGAACAGACTGGTACACTCAATTTATCTTCAAGGCAATGCCAACAACCAGTTGTGCAGTCATAAAGAATCAGATGTGCGCCCATTAGACTACCACATTGGCTATGGTAGTATTGCAATACATTCCATTCAATAGGCCAAAACAAAAAAACATTGGAGAGAAAACATTCCTTGAATACGCTAATCAGGGGCATTTTTCACATATGGAATGATAACGGGAGGGGAGGGAGGTCTGCAACACTGACTACTACTACTACTACAAAATTCTCAGCTGCTCTTCTGTTAACAGGAACAATCTACTGACCTTGAAGTATTGTCTGCTTACATCTGGGAAATGGAAAGAAGACTGAAAAAGCCTTTCCCATTCCAGGAAACATTGAACTGCAAATTTAGTACTTGTGATTATAATGGGTCAAAATGGCCCATTCCGCAGTTTTAGGTACAAGTAATAAAAACAAACAACAACAAAAAAAAAAAAAAAAAGATAAGTATTTAACGTATCATATTTTCACAGATTATTATTAGTATAAAAATACGAAAAGTCAAGAAATTTTTTTCAATTCCATTAGTAACTGTTTGATAAAATCAAAAACAAAATTGCTTTTGGGTCAAAATGACCCCATCTACGGTTCTAGTGTTAAGGCCTTTAAATATCTTAATCCGGCTTTACTGTTACTGTCAACAAACAAGAACTATCATCATGTTTTGTCTATTGGCAACACTTTTAACAAAGTTCATTTGGCTGTATCTAACCTCAAAGCATGGCTTTGACCTCAAAGGACTTTGAAGACTTAATTCATGATGGAAAAAATTCCAGCACACATTTCTGAGCACAAACACTCCATGAGGAAATTGCCAAGGAGAAAAGATCCTCTCAACTTTCATTCCAGTATCAACCAAATTGTTAACTGAAGATCCAACAAAATGGCATGAATAAAGACAGCAGATATCCAAAGCATGTTAAATAACATCACCTGCAGAAATACTAAGAGATCTCATTTGAGTGTCTCACAGGCATAAAGATGAAAAATCAAGACAAACAGGTAGCCATTAACAGACACAACTCAAAACTCATCTCAAGTTGAGCCATATCATTAACAAGAAAAAAGGTCAAAGGCCAAGAAGAGAGAGTGGGACAATATGTAGAAGTCTAAGTACAGGGCTTCATAGCCACATTTTAGTTAAAAAAAGTAAGCACCTATAAGCACTTTTCAAGCACATTTTAAGGAAAAAATAAGCACCTGTCTAATTACATTATACACAACTGCATAACCTTAAAAGAAAAAATTAGACTTGTAATTTAAAATATGAGCAATGCAATATTTATTAAGAGAATGAGCATTACCTCAACAATGGAAAACACAATTAACTTTTTTTTTTTTTTTTTTTTTTTAAATTTTAAATGACAGTTCAATTTACAGAATTAGTTTACGAGAGAAAAAAAAAACTATGCAGAACTAAACTATATTACAAGATTTAATGATGATATTTCAGTTGAAAATATAGAAAATAAATAATAAAAAGCCATATTAATTGCATTCATTTGGCACCTAATAATAAATACAATTTATTTTTCCACTCATATTAATATTTAAATAATTTAACTTAAATCAAAATTCTGAACATTTTCTAAATTTTCATTGCATAACAGTTTTCCCTTAACATATATTCCAAGCAAAGTAATTTAAGTAAAAAAGAGGCACATTTCTGAAATCAGAAGACGGGAAATTGCTTCATCCAGTCATCCTTTAACACTAAAAGCTTAACTAACCCGCATTCTCGGAAATTCCCGAATATTCCAGATAGTAACTGGAAAAAGAGGAGCGAGGGAGATTGTAGCCGTTCTTTAGATTTCTCGGCCAAATAAATGATTTTGACGTTTCGATATGTGCATCATATAAAAAATAGACCAACGGAACTGAGAAATATTGCTTAGAAAGTACAGTAAAACTCTTTTAAGTGTTCATAAACAAATCTCAGACTGAACATCAAAATTAATTATCAATGCAAAATACCGCAAACGTTATTGCGCAATATGTGCGGCATAATTCTTCAATATGTTATATTTCGCAATCGGAATCAACACCTGCCGGTATTCGGAGAATAAAGAACTAAATAAAGGGAAAAAAAAAAAAAAAAAAAAAAAAAAAAAAAAAAAAAAAAAAAAAAAAAAAAAAAAAAAAACAAAAAAAAAAAAAAAAAAAAAAAAAAAAAAAAAAAAAAAAATACTAGTAAAAAAAAAACTGAAATGTTTCAGATTTTAAATTACGTCCAAAGGGGCGTTTTTTTAACGTTCTGAGTGTTACCTTTATTTATTAAATATCATGTTCTTTGCTCTTAAACCATAAAATTCAGTTCAAGAGCAATATCGCAAAAAATAATGTTAAATTAAGCATATCTTTATAATTTCCGATATACACAGTCTCGCGAGCTGGAGATAAAAAGTATTTTTTTTTTTTTTTTTTTTTTTTTTTTTTTTATATATAACGTTGCCATTTCTCGCTTTTAAAGCATTGAGTTTGTAAAATCAAAAATTCGTTAAAGTTTTACAAAATATAAAATCTATAATAAAACAAATTCCAAATTTGGGATTTCAGATGCCCATATTCGCAGTAGGATTTCGTCATTCAAAATTCGATGGCTCTATGTACCATTGTTTTATCACAATGCGAGAAATAGACAATCATTTATGCAGATTTTTCATTATTTAATTTCTTCAAATATAATGCAGGACTCTAACATTTTGTGGCAACAGTTTGAAAAGTGAACCGACATTTATGAGTCCGACGCAAAATGCCAAAACGAAACTAATAGTCCTTCGGGATTCAAATCCCTTTGGACTAATTAAGCATATCTTTAGAATTTCCGATATACACAGTCTCGCGAGCTGGAGATAAAAGTATTTTTTTCTATATAACGTCGCCATTTCTCGCTTTTAAAGCATTGAGTTTGTAAATCAAAAATTCGTTAAAGTTTTACAAAATATAAAATCTATAATAAAACACAAATTCCAAATTTGGGATTTCAGATGCCCATATTCGCAGTAGGATTTCGTCATTCAAAATTCGATGGCTCTATGTACCATTGTTTTATCACATGTGAGAAATAGACAATCATTTATGCAGAATTTTTCATTATTTCATTTCTTCAAATATAATGCAGGACTCTAACATTTTGTGGCAACAGTTTGAAAAGTGAACCGACGTTTATGAGTCCGACGCAAAATCGCAAAACGAAAACAATAGTCCTTCAGGGACAAAGCCCCTTTGGACTAAAAAGAGAAAGAAAGAGACTTACTAATCTGGGGTGTTTCTGATTCCAATTTTCAAAAGACTGTATTAAATTTCCGGAATAGAATCAATCTTCGCTTGGGTTGGGTAGACCGCAAAAACTTTGTCCTATTCAATCCAGATTGGACAGTGACGAAAAAAAAGTCCGCTGCTTCAATATTAGAGATTTTGCGGAGAAACTCCCAATCTCCGTACTGTATAATGTATTGGCAAAGAAAATGAAATTATTTTGACTATTCGATTACTTTCCTTTTATTTAAGCCATTCCGAATATTATTCCTTAGAAAGCTAATCTGTGTAAAAACACACCCATTTTTGGAAGTTTATCTATATTTCAGTAGTTACTGCAACTGTATTATTATAAATATTCATACATATGCTCATAATATAAGCATAACGATCATAATAAACACGAATATGAACTGACCACGCGGAACGAGAACAAATTATTAAAATCTTGATAAAAATTCAAACGTGTGCAGTATTTGGGTGGGAGGAAAAGAATACTAAATGTACCGGAATTTTCTACCGTTTTCAATTCTTTGGCCAATAGAACGACGTGCACCTGTCTGTACTCTCGCGCGCACCATAGGTTACGTTGATGCAGAGGAATGGGGGGAAAGCAATTTCCGGGAGTATGATTCACCATCTGACGTTGAATATAAGGATTTAGTTTCGGCTTTGGTACGGGGAAAAAATGCGCGTTCATTAAAAACAAAGGATTAAAAAAAAAGCACTAAAAGCAAAAAAATAAGGGCTTTAAAGAAAAAGTAAGCACCTATAAGAGCCTATATATTTTATTTTCAAATATAAGGACTTATAAGCACTTGTAAGGATCGCTACGAACCCTGTAAGTAGCTCTACCATGGCAGCTGACCATACGAGGCCCCTAGTTATGTATAATTTAGAACTGAGATTATGTGCACTTCATTTATTTTGAGGATTTTTCTTTTTCACGTTTCTCAGATTCTGTTAAGATCCACTTCATTTATTTTGAGGATTTTTCTTTTTCACGTTTCTCAGATTCTGTTAAGATCCAGACAGATGTTGTTTCCATTACTTGCTACCAGTGATTGTGACACTAAATAATGATCTTCAGTCTTGACAAGGCAAATTGCTAGAAGATTCTGGAATGGTGGTAATAATCCTGGAACCAGTGTATTGCTGAACAAGGGGTGATTATTTTGAAAGACTGATGTTTAAACTTAGATCAACGATGTATTCCCCCATCAAAGCTAGTCTAGGAAATTTTTATTTATCCTTGTAAATATAGAAGTATAACTTTTTACTACAGAAATACTAAAATTTGAAAATTTTCATTTACCATTGTTAAATTTTCCATGGCTTTTACCCTCAATTACGAGGACAAGCATTATCATGCAAGAGGATAACCCCACGTGACAGCATGCCAAGTTGGCAGTTCTTGACATTCTGTCTCAGTTTCTGCAATATGGCACAATACATGGCAGCAGTGACAGTCTTGCCCATAGGTAGCCATTCCAATACTAGTGGACCATTGATGTCAAAGGCGCACATTAACATGACTTAGTAGCTCTAGTAGATGTGAAAACCTTCTTTGGGTGTGGGCATGAAGAATGTCACCATTCCATGCTCATGCTTTCGGTGGCTGTATTAAAGTGATGGCACCATGTTTCATTAATGACAATGATCCTTGAAAGGAATTGGTTCCCCATTTCATGGTACCGCATGGAAAGATGTTGCATGGAAACAGACATACAATGAATCTTTTCTGCTCCTCTGTCAAATGTTTTGGCACCTATAGCACACAAACCTTGCGGTATCGCAACTTTTCGCGCAGTATTTATTGTGTGCACACTTCCTATGCTCATAGACATTTCTTCCACTATTTCTAAAGTGCTGATTAGCCAATTCATTTTCATGAGACGATCCACATTTGCAACTGCTTCCTGGGTGATCACCACATGTACTTGACCAGGTCGTGGCCTGTCGTCACTGCTTTTTCCACTATGAAAATCACTACACCATCGGAATACCGATCTGTGTTTCATACACTTCATACTTTGTATTCGATGATAGATTTCAGAACTCACATTTTCCGATGTAAAAAATTGCACGACCGCATGTTGACACCGTTTGGAGGCATCCATGATACATAAAATGCCTTTAAACGGGCTTCGACGTTATCGCACAATCGTTTGGTGGGATCTGATGATATCACATGCATTCCCAGCACTCTGTGCCCTTTATAGGGGCATGCGCAGTCATCTTTCTCTTCAAATAGCGGAGTTATTACAGCAATGCCACTTTCATTTGAACGGCCTTTATATAAATCAAGTTCCCCCTTTCCCAATTTTATACTTTTCACTGGTATATTTCTATTAGATAAGTGTTGCATTACATTGCATTACTAATGAAAACTGCTGCTTCTACTAAGTAATACAAAGTACTGATATAACACAAATTATAATATGTAGTAACAGGTTTTCCACTGAAATTCAGATTTTAATTTCCTTTACTTTTTCATGACCAAAATGATCAATTTTCTTGACCAAGCATAATGAAGTAGTTATCAAATTAAGTATGAATAACTGATTAATTTTGTCACATAACTAAAAACATTACAAAAATTTAATTTTCCTTACTTATTATCATGAAGTAAGTGAAAGAAATATTTACAGAAAGTATGAATTAAATTGTTCAAAAAAGATACCTGATTTTTTTAAATATTTCTTTTTAGAATTTGCTATTAAATTCTTGAAGAAACCATTGATTTTGCAAAAGAAATTTGTAACGGTAACTCACTCATATTCAATATTACTCTTATGATGTTTTAAAATAAAGCAAAAGAGCTAAGTTAACCCTATGAAGTGAAAAAAATATTGAATTATTCTAATTAATGTACAAAAACATTTCTTAACTATATTACTCATTTTTGAAGGGTATTTACATTAACAGAAGAGTGAAATGCAGCTTATAAACAGTACAAAGGAAAACTACAGGTTGATAAAACTGCAACAGATTTTCTGAAAGGAAAACAACGATTACAATAACTACTTTTGATTTTTAACTTTCTTTAATTTTTAGTAAAAGTTCCAATTCCTCTTAACTTTTTAAAAATTTTCAATGAATTTCCCGGATAGTTTATTTCCTCAACTTTGTAAGTGACTTTTAATTTTCTTTATTTTTTAGTGAAAGTTCCAATTCCTCTTAACCTTTTTTAATTTTCCAGATAGTTTATTTTCTTAACTTTTAACAGGTGGGTAGAACCTGATATAAACAAGAGCAACACATCATTCAAACTTTTTTTTATATATATTAATAAAAAAGCAAATATTCATAGCAACAGTTCATATAAATTTACACGCTATTTATGTTTGAATTTCTTCTTCTTGAAGCGATTTTTGACACCTTTTGACTCTTCTGTATCATCATCGTCTGCATTACGATGTCTTCTCTTCTTATCTTTACCTTCGAGTTCTTTCATTTCCTACAAAATGAGATAAACACAAGTCACCACATCTAAATGTAGTTCTATATGACAGCAAAATATACCATGCAATTCACAATGAATTGTTAATTATTTTTAAATCACTCATGCTATGACTAGAAATTTAGATATCTACACCATTTTGACCAGGGTTGGGTTTCTTGCAGGACAGAAAAAGAAATTAAAAATGATGCACCTATAGCAGTGGTGGTGAACCTTTTTGGAGCTGCGTGCCCAAAACCTCTTTGATTAAATCCCTATCCGAGAGCGTTTTACCATGTTTTGCAAGGCACAGTGAAATTTGACAGCTGGCAATTGTTAAATGATTTGTTTTAGATAGATAATTGCAAAAACCAACTTTCTGGTAATTATAATTCTTCAACTTTCCTTCAATAAACAACTTCCGCTCAGCTTCATCAAATTTGGCAACAATCTTGTGGCTGGTGCTAAAGTGCTGTCTGACACTAGATGGGCGACACACAACACTTTTCCCACACGGAATGCATAATGCTTTCCTACTGCATACCTGCCAACCTCTAAAGATAAAAATTCAGAAGATTTCTCCCCCAAATTCAGAAGAACACGAAGAATTAATATCATGCGCTTTGATATTAAAAAAATAACAATTTATACAAATAGAAAAAAGAAAATTGTACTTACATTAGTAAATCTCAATTAAGTAGTAACTAAAAAATTTATTAGGAAACATAAAACAAGAACTTAATGTTACACAAAAAAATTATTGCAATGAATTTAGAGTGCATTTTTTGGCTTTAGCCAAAAATTCTTTGGAAAATTTCCTGTCATAACAATTAGTTTCTTCATAACATTTAGCAATTAAAATGTTTTCTAGAGTTTTTGGTGAAATTGAAGAACGAAACATAGTTTTGTTTTTCTTCACACACTGAAAACTCTCTTGCACTCAGCATTACTGTGTGGAATTATGAGAATAGCACATAAAACTCTTGCTAGTCTATCATATTTTGATGTTCCACAGCTCTTTTTATTCTTTTTAAGGTACCAACGAGGACATCAAGTCTATCTTCTCCAGAAGTGGCAAAGTCTTCAAACTGTGCAGCAGAAAACTGGTTCTGTAGTTCATCTAAAGCATCATTATGGCATTCATTTTCTTTAATTGTTAACAAAAATGGAAATTTACCAATAAAAAAACGAATCTTTTCAAAAGATGAATTTTCAATTTGTTTCAAATTTGCCACTTCAGCATTTAAAAGAACTTCATTTTGCAAAGGAAACTTCCTTACAATGTAATCACAGGCTGAGGAAAAGTACTTTCTAACACATTGAAAAAAAAATTTTTTTTCATGATCTTTCAAAGAATTTACAAGTTCCCTGGTTTGATTTCGAATTATACGATCATTGTCATCCTTTTGATTTGCCAAACTATTATAGGCAACACGAATCAACACACTGTTTTTCACAAACGGACGGTTTTACAAACTTAGTATAAAGTTCTTTCAAAAGATCATTAAGAATTTGGATAAGCAGGGAGATTTTGGCGAAGCTGATTGTAGAAGGGTATTTACACTTTCAAAAATCTTAATGGTACTTAACACAAAACTACAATATGCTTTGTTCAAATCCGAAGAAAGAAGATAGAAAATCCTTTCCTCCCGGCTAATAGAAGACTGTTTCTTCTTCCCTTCAACTTCTTTAACAAAGTTGACCTTTGAGGAGTCTTCTAAGCATTTTCTTTTTAAAGGGTTTGATTCTGTGTGTTGGCTTTTCCCTTTTAAAGCATTTTGATTAGAAGCAAAGTTGGTTTTTGGAATCTTATATGCTGACAAATTTGATGGGATCTGTGGTTTCGTTTTGGTCTCTTCGTGGAAATATTTTAGCAATGCATCCCACTGTTCAATAAACCTTCCTAGCGCTCTCCCTAAGGAGAACCATCTCGTGCATACATGTTTCAGAATTTTTCTCGTTTCACTAGAGCACAGTTCTTGGAAATTCTTTAGGTTTTCTTTCCTTTTTACACTTTTTTCCAGATAGAAAAACACATCAATCAGAAGCTGGTCAATATTTAATGGTAAAGCAGCTGCAGCTTTTTCTGCTGCCAAATTAATTAAGTGGCATGGGCATCCAATAACAATTAATTCATTTTGTTCTTTTTTGAGGAAAGAGGCTACACACGACACCTTTTTGTCACCCACCACGACATGAGCATTATCTGCACCAAATGAAATGCAGTTTGATATTGGCATGTTAAGTTGTTTCAACTCATTAATTACCAAGGAGGCAATATTTCCCCCGTAGCGTCTCCATTTAACAATGGAAGATGCAAAAGATGAGTTTTCATTTCATTAGAAACATCACAGAAATATGTGACAACGATGGGGTAAAGCTTCCAATCGCTGTCGTTGCTGCCATCGATTGACACCGAAAATGCTGAATTCTGGAGTGCAGCTATCGTTTTACTTTGTGCATCGCAAGCAATTTCGTTCACAATAGAAGATGTTTTCGTGCGAGCACAAGCATATTTCTGAGCAATCTTGGAGTCGGGAAACATACGTCTGAAAAGTTGACCGCTGTGATCGGCAACGCATAGTGGCACGTTGTGTTCGATGAGGAATGCAGTAAACAAACACTCTGCCAAAATGACATCGGCATCCGAATTCGTAGCCTAATTTGAAAAAAAAATGTTAAAAATTACAATGTAATCACAGGCTGAGGAAAAGTACTTTCTAACACATTGAAAAAATTCTTTTTCTCATGATCTTTCAAAGAATTTACAAGTTCCCTGGTTTGATTTCCAATTATAAGATCATTGTCCATTCCTTTTGATTTGCCAAACTATTATAGGCAACACGAATCAACACATGTTTTTCACAACGGACGGTTTTTTTACAAACTTAGTTATAAAGTTCTTTCAAAAGATCATTAAGAATTTGGATACAGCAGGGGAGATTTTGGCGAAGCTGATTGTAGAAGGGTATTTACACTTTCAAAAATCTTAATGGTACTTAACACAAAACTACAATATGCTTTGTTCAAATCCGAAGAAAGAAGATAGAAAATCCTTTCCTCCGGCTAATAGAAGACTGTTTCTTCTTCCCTTCAACTTCTTTAACAAAGTTGACCTTTGAGGAGTCTTCTAAGCATTTTCTTTTTAAAGGGTTTGATTCTGTGTGTTGGCTTTTCCCTTTTAAAGCATTTTGATTAGAAGCAAAGTTGGTTTTCGGAATCTTATATGCCGAATTTGGTCTCGTTTTGGTCTCTTCGGAAATATTTTTAGCAATGCATCCCACTGTTCAATAAACCTTCCCAGCGCTCTGCCTAAGGATAACCATCTCGTGCATACATGTTTCAGAATCTTTCTCATTTCACCAGAGCACACTTCTTGGAAATTCTTTAGGTTTTCTTTCCTTTTTACACTTTTTTCCAGATAGAAAAACACATCAATCAGAAGCTGGTCAATATTTAATGGAAAGCAGCTGCAGCTTTTTCTGCTGCCAAATTAATTAAGTGGCATGGGCATCCAATAACAATTAATTCATTTTGTTCTTTTTTGAGGAAAGAGGCTACACCACGACACCTTTTTGTCACCCACCACGACATGAGCATTATCTGCACCAAATGAAATGCAATCTGATATTGCAATGTTAAGTTGTTTCAACTCATTAATTACCAAGGAGGCAATATTTCCCCCGTAGCGTCTCCGTTTAACAATGGAAGATGCAAAAGATGAGTTTTCATTTCATTACAAACATCACAGAAATATGTGACAACGATGGGGTAAAGCTTCCAATCGCTGTCGTTGCTGCCATCGATTGACACCGAAAATGCTGAATTCTGGAGTGCAGCTATCGTTTTACTTTGTGCATCACAAGCAATTTCGTTCACAATAGAAGATGTTTTCGTGCGAGCACAAGCATATTTCTGAGCAATCTTGGAGTCGGGAAACATACGTCTGAAAAGTTGACCGCTGTGATTGGCAGCGCATAGTGGCACGTTGTGTTCGATGAGGAATGCAGTAAACAAACACTCTGCCAAAATGACATCGGCATCCGAATTCGTAGCCTAATTTGAAAAATCATCCACTTTCTTGACGTTGTCGAAGCCGAAGCATTAACTTCATGCTTTTTAGACTTAACATGCTTCACAATGTCGCTTCTTCCACCGTGACTTATTATGAAGTCACACACGCACACATTGCAAAATGCATAGTTATTTCCTTTGAAGGATTCTTTAATTGTTGGAAATTCGGCTTTGTAGGCAGGCCAAAAATATTGAGAATATGGTTTTTTTTTAACTCATTTCGTAACAATGACGTATTAACAAAATTCGTAGCACGTGCAAACAAACAAACAAACAAACAAAAACAGAATGCGACAATCCACGCTAAAAAAATAATCTGGCGCCCACAAAGAAAAGAGTGTGAGAAACAAGTTCAGCACATTGGATTGGCTGGTTAAGCGGCGAGTTGGGAGAAACTGCAGGTTACTGGATCCGAAGTAGTCGGTAGTTGGCAGTAAAACACGATGCAATTGGCGAAAATCGCTGAATTGGCGAAAAATTCTAAAATTTCGACAAAAATCACTAAAAACACTTGAAAAAGTAAAAAAAATCATAAAAAATGGATTACGATCATAAAATTGTAAAGATAAACGCATTTTCGTAAAAATTACGAAAAATTCGTAAAAGTTGGCAGGTATGCTATTGTGTTCAATAGCTCCAAATGATTCTGTCCAGGTCTCTTCAAATGATCTTCCACTATCAATGTTTAATTTTGCCTTTTTTGTTGGAGTCATTTGTGAGGGTTCAAGACCTGGAACATAGAAAATCTATTTAGCATTGAAAGTATTAAAGCTCACTGGCAGTCTGCAATAAACTTGAATTTGTTTAGCAAACATTAGCTGCTTCAACTCTGGCGTATTCTTTGCCATGTAACAAGTAATATGACTGGCCCAAATAATTGAAATATCATAAAGTGGGTCAAAAAAATATGTGTATCATTTCTATGGCGATATATGAAAATCTTA